TTGATAGGTCTAAAAGGAGAAGTCTGGCTGAAAACAAGTTTGGTGGTCTGGTTTTATCTTTCATTTCAAAACAATGAAAACATATGAGATTTCCTAAGGAGAAATATTACTATGAGAAGAGACAAGTACTTATGACAGAGTTTCAAGAAATTCCAGTTTTAAGGAAGGATCAAGGAAAATGAACTGGCAAGGGAGACAGAGGAACAGGCAGAAATGTAGAAGAAAACCCAGAGGACTGAGATATCACAGAGCCCAAAGAAGAGTTCTGCAGCAGGAAGGAGTGATCAGCTATCTTAGGTGCTGCTGAGAGGTCTACAAACCTGACACTGAACGATATCTATTGGGTTTAGTAATATGGAGGTTGTCAATAATCATAGCAAGTATGTATTGGTGGATTGAAGAAACAGAAGCCAGATTGGAGAGGTTAAAGCAATGGAGTCAGTGAATACAGACAACTCTTTTGAGTAGTTTGGCTGTGAAAATGGATGTGCTGTGGGCAGTAGTTTCATTGAGAGGGGGGTTAAGAAGGCCTTCTGTTTTTCTTTTGGAAAGATGACTTGAAAATGATTAAACTTTGGTGGGAAAATTCTAGTGAAGTCTATTGTATAAGGTTTCTGAGGAGGCCTGAGAGATTGGGGTTCAGAAACTAGTTGGAGGAGAGAGATTTACTCTCTTTGTATGTAGAATACGGAAGGAAGGGCAGATGCAAGTATGTTTCTACCTTTGACAGGGAGACTTCTACCAGCTTCTATTTTCTGTGTGGAATAGGAGGCAGGGCTACCCGTGAAGAGTGAGAGGAGGGAGGTGAAAAGAGAAGTGGGAAGGTTTTAAGTTTTCTTGTGGAGACAGGTAGAATCATTTGGTGAGAGAAACACAGCAGGGTAGAGGTGCAGCAGTAACAAAGCAGTTGAAAGTTGTGACCATGAATGTTGGGAGCCTAATCTCCTCTACTGTGTGTAATTTTCTTTTTCTTTTCTTTTTTTTTAATTTATTTACTTTATTTATTTTTGTCTGCATTGGGTCTTCATTGCTGTACATGGGCTTTCTCTCGTTTCGGCGAGCGGGGGCTACTCTTTGTTGTGGTGCGCGGGCTCCTCATGCGGTGGCTTCTCTTGTTGCAGAGCATGGGCTCTAGAGCGCAGGCTCAGTAGTTGTGGTGCACAGGCTTAGTTGCTCTGCGGCCTGTGGGATCTTCCCAGACCAGGGCTCGAACCCGTGTCCGCTGCATTGGCAGGTGGATTCTTAACCACTGCGCCACCAGGGAAGCCCTACTCTGTAATTTTCATCAACAGAACTTGGCTGCTCAGGGGCAGACGTGACGCAGAGAAAGTAAATTGTTGGGTTAATCCAAAGTTAAAATTTTGCTAAAGAACTATCATTCTAAAGAGAGACAAGAGAGTTTAGGGTTTTGCTGAGAAAGTTACTGATGGTGGTGATGGCTTCATGGGTGTATAATTATCTTCAAACTCATCAAGTTGTATATATTAAATACGTACAACATTTTACATATCAATCATACCTCAATAAAGTGGCTTTAAAAATAAATGCATTTGGGGCTTCCCTGGTGGCGCAGTGGTTGAGAGTCCACCTTCCGATGCAGGGGACACGGGTTCGTGTCCCGGTCCGGGAAGATCCCACATGCCTCAGAGCGGCTAGGCTCGTGAGCCATGGCCGCTGGGCCTGCGCTTCCGGAGCCTGTGCTCTGCAATGGGAGAGGCCACAACAGTGAGAGGCCCGCGTACCGCAAAAAAATAAAAATAAAAATATAAAAATAAATGCTTTTGACCACCTAGAGGGGTGGGATAGGGAGGGTGGGAGGGAGGGAGACGCAAGAGGGAGGAGATATGGGGATATATGTATAACTGATTCACCTTGTTATAAAGCAGAAACTAACACACCATTGTCAAGCAATTATACCCCAATAAAGATGTTAAAAAAAATGCCTTAAAAAAGAAAGTTACTGAATTGGTTTACCAAGAAATCTAAACTGGATAAGAAAGGAAGTGAAGAAAGGAGAGGACCAAACTACTGGGAATAATAACTAGATGCTTTAGTGACCAAGGCTTGTCAATAGAGTCAAAGGACAACAGGGACAGAAGTAATTCAACAGCTAAGTTGGAAAAGAAGCTGTGGTAAACTGCAGAATGCTTGGTTAATGGAGTGGTAAAACAAGGCTCTTTCTACCCTGAAGAACTATCATATCAAGCACATACCATAAGTATTCCTGTGTTTTACTTACACAGGATTTGCAAAGCAAGTGACCAAAAAACAGTTTTAGACTCTTAAATTTAGTGTTGAAGATGAGAAGGTTGAGAGACAGTCTGCCTTTGGAGAAATTTAGAATATTTTCCTAAACTCCAACTTGTATGATCAGTTTTTGGAGCCTTCCATTCACCTCGAGACAGTGCAATAGATATTGAGGAATCACCACTTGGAAAACTTGAGACTGTTTCCTAGAGATCAGTGGACTAGTATTTGACATACTCTTGAAACATTTAAAAGTGAAAGTCACTGCTGAGTCTCCTTGTCTAATGGAGAGTCAGCTGCACTTTCACTGCGAACGGAGCAGAGGTGCCTGTTTCCCCCGAGCCAGATGTATGACAGGAGTGGTATTTGGGGTCATTTTAAAAGCAACTTTCCCCAAGACAGCTTCTTGACAGGGCAAGGCGACCTCTGCATCAAGAGATCGGGTGACCATCACATGCAGAAACCACAGGGTGTCATAGTGGAAGAGGTGCATTACTCCACAGAAGGAGCAGCAACCTGATGTTCTTATTTGGGTGACAGGAATCTCTAAAAGCACCATGACGCATAAAACCCATAATACCGCCCACCAGATGAGGCCATCTGGAACATCCATCAAACATAAAGAGAAATCTGTATGTCTTCTTTGGAGAAATGTCTATTTAGGTCTTCTGCCCATTTTTGGATTGGGTTTTTTTTTTTTTTTTTTTTTTTTTTGGTATTGAGCTGCATGAGCTGCTTGTATATTTTGGAGGTTAATCCTTTGTCAGTTGCTTCATTTGCAAATATTTTCTCCCATTCTGAGCATTGTCTTTTCGTCTTGTTTATGGCTTCCTTTGCTATGCAAATGGACATATATACACTACCAAATGTAAAATAGATAGCTAGTGGGAAGCAGCCACATAGCACAGGGAGATCAGCTCCGTGCTCTGTGAACACCTAGAGGGGTGGGATAGGGAGGGTGGGAGAGAGACGTAAGAGGGAAGAGAAATGGGACATATGTATATGTATAACTAATGCGCTTTGTTATACAGCAGAAACTAACACACCATTGTAAAGCAATTATACTCCAATAAAGATGTTAAAAAAAAAAAACCATAAAGAGTACTAACATCGTATCTTACTTAAACCAGTCAACTAAGACCTCTCCTAATCCTTACTGCTCTTCTCCCGATACTGTCCATCCCTTGCCACTCCAAATATGGAGGATTTAGAAACTTGAACTAGCAAATGGTGGGAGAAACTGGAGCTAGAAGAGAGAGAACAATACAAACCCACAAACCTACTTCCAACTATGGGCTTTTCAGCAAGCCTGATCTAGGGGACAAGCAAAAGTTTAACTTTACTAAAGTTTGGACTTTTGCTAGTAGAGGACTCTTTATTTCAGCTACTGAAATGAGGTTGCTTTTTTTTTTTTTTTAAACTAAACATGACTGAAAGACTCTATTAAATGAAGTGACCAAAAATGTTATAGATTCTACTCCAGATTTCACCCCAGGGATAGCAAGAATCAGACCAACAGAGTGTGTTACATGGATCACAGGCGAGAGAAGGAATGAAGTTGCTTTTGTATTGCACCTTAGGGAGCTCTATTCCTAAACAGAAACATTAGAAATAGTGATTTTTTTCAGATGGAGCCATCTGAGGATGTGCTATTGTGCAGGAACTAGAGGAGAGGGTGACAGGAAGAGCGGAGTCGAAGGTCTCTGGAAATGAGATTTAAGAAATGTGTAAAGCCCGGATATTTAAGGGGTTACTCATGAAGACGGTATAGTTATCCAGGTGCTGACAGGATTTGCAGGATGAGGAATGTTGTGTGCCAGATGGGCATGTCATCTTTAGTGATGGCAGTGGGTGACTGGGAGATCAGAACATCCTGTCCAAAAGAATAGGCAGAGAAAGAGCCAAATTATATGAGCCTTAAAGAGAAGTCGATTAGTTTTCATGTCAGTAGAGGATTAATGTCCTGGAAGAGGGTGAGAACAAGGACACTGACTCTCTCTCTCAACAGTGAAGTACAGAGGGTGAAAACGTTCAATTTCACAAGTAGTGGTATCCTCTGGGGAGGATCAGAGAAAGTGCCAAATAAAGAAACACTCCAACAAGAGGTTTAGGAATTCACTGACCATGTACCACCAGTTCAGAGGGAAAACCCTGGAAAGATTTGGGAGTGTTTGGTGAGAAGGGAAGAAAGGAAGTTAAGAGTTGCCTCAGGAATAAGAAAGAAGGATGAATGAATGAAACTGTGTAAAGTATTTCAGTGGTTATGTATTTTTATTGTTAACATTTCTATTGATGGAAAGATAAAGGTTGCATTATTGGGCTGCCATAACAAAATACCATAGACCGGGTGACTTAAAAAGCAGGAACTTATTTCTCCCAGTTCTAGAACCTGAAAATCCAAGATCAAGGTACCAGCAGGATTAGTGTCTGATGAGAGCTCTCTCCTTAGGTTGCAGATGGCTGCTTTCTCTCTGTGATCTCACATGGCAGAGAGAGAAAGATCAAGCTCCCTGGTGCCTCCTCTTACAAGAGCACTAATCCCATCATGCAAGGCCCCGACCATCATGACCTCATCTAACCCTATTACCTCCCAGAGTCTCCACCTCCAAATACCATCTGATTGGGGGTTAGGGCTTTCAACATATGAATTTTGCGGTGGGGTGGACACAGACATTCAGCCCATAACAAATGCTATTACTGCTTGTTATGACCACAAACAGAGCTGTTCTCATGTACGTTTTATTGTTGAACAGAATTCAGGCACAGGAAGCAAATATCGAACAAAGAAGGACCACATGATGTGTAAACTTATGTGCCTGTGCGTTGCTTACTCTTCTACCATTGGTGGATTGACAACGATCACTGGTACCTCCACCAACTTGATCTTCGCTGAGCATTTCAATATGTAAGTAAAATTGTTGGACTGGTGATTTAATAAATGGACAACACACAAATTATAAGAATTATTCTTACTTGTTTCAGAGAATCCAAAGACAGATGCTATATTGAGTTAACTCTCCTTTGTTCCCCATCAGGACTTCTATATTTCTAGAAACATGCCCTTCTACTCGTTCCCATGGAGTTAAATATGTAGGGCATAGTGAATTAACAGGTGTTTGCAGATTGCAAGGTCACCTTGAAAGAAATAACTCCTGGATGACCATGCTCACCAAACACAGAAGACACTTTTCTTTATAAATAATATTGCAAATGGTAGTTACCTACAAAGAAAGGGGACTGTTTACATGGGACAATTTATGTAGGGTTTTGCAACTGACATTTGAACTTAAATGATGAGCAGGAAACAGAATTGCTCATTACAGAAAATTTGGTGTTGAGGTTGAAAAAGATTTGAAGGATTGTGCAATTACCAAAAATAGCAGTAATAAAGTATTCTAAGGACAGATGTATGAATCTGAATATAAGTTAATGCTGTGATGTTACTCCAGTGCAGAAAATGGGGAACCTTGGATACAGTCAGAGCACTTGAGTTAAAAATTCCACAACTTTCAGTCACTTACTTTGTGAATTTGAACAATAAAGGGTAAATAACTCTTCCAAGACTTAATTTTTTCATACCTAAAATAGTCACAGTTCATATGATTATTGTGAGAATTAAATGAAGTAGACTATGCAAAAATACTTGGTACCATGTAAGAACTATTGAAGCAATAGTCTGAAAGTCCATGCTTTTTTGTGAGAGCTCAATCTGATCCTGCACCCAAGGTATATTTTCAAGGACTAATAGGACAGATAACTGTCAGAGTGCCTGGAAGGTGGGCAGTGCTGAGGATGGCCTGGAACAGGATTTAGGTCCTTTTCACAGAAAAATTTAGGAAAACCACACTCTAGGAAACAGATTCAGAAACTCTGTGAACTTTCTGAAATTATTTGCAAGATGTTCCAAGAAATCCAAGGTTCCAAAAATGTCACCCTCCGTTGTGGAAAGAATGAGAACTTATGTACAAAAGAGAACACTAACAGAACAGTTTAGGGAATTTATAACACAGACCTCCATGTGCGCTTATTGTTTCTATTAGTACACAACCATCATGTGTACTCCAACGGCCTACTTAGAAAGGAACCTTAGAAAGACATTTGGTTTATAAGTGGGAGACTTCTAAAATTCCTAGTGCAGAGAGGATTTATCCCATTTATCTCCCAGTTCAAGATAGGAAATGTACTTGATCCCTTTCTGAAAGCTAGACTTCTGTCCTTTCCCACGAATCCCCCAAAGAAAGAGATTCCACATTTCAGTCCTCTCTGCAAATCTCTTTTTCTAAAATTTAGACCAATTTTTTATTTTTTATCTTCGTTGGTGTTAGAGAACTGCTGGTTTCCACCATTCCCATGAAATTACTTGGTATTGTCAAAATGACCACATTGAGTTTGCCCTTGGTCTTTGTGTTCTTGCCCAATGTATCGACAAAATTTTCTTTTATTTAACTGTTCCTTTGACTCTCTGAATGCATTCATCCATTTGCAATGACAGATTGAGAGCATTGTAGCACTTTGGGAAAAATGTTTTAGTAACTATTTTCCCCAATTGTCTCATCTTCTAGTTCTTCTAATCATGGGAATTTGGCCAAAATGTTCTTTAAATTTAGAAAATACTTAAAATGTGCTTTAAAATTTAGTGGGTTTTTTTCTTCAAGTTTTCTTTAACATTAAGAGTTATATGAAAACTGGAAAAAAACTCAAAGTATCCCTTCTTGATAGAAAATATTAAAATAGAAGGGGGAAAACAACCTTATGTAACAAAGTATAATTGATACTATTAAACAAACTATTTAATAAATGTTTTCTTAAATATTGACCCTAAAAAATACAACAGCAACCCAAAGCAACAATGGAATGAAATGCCTTCAGTTTCACTGGAAAAAGTTTCAGAAACTTAAAACTGCAGAAAATAAAAAAGATTTATTTTCTATGTTCAGATGTTTGGAGCCAGAGAGAAATCGCCCTTTATTTCCAAATCCACTACAATAATCTCACCTTTTCTCTTGACACTGCTTGCCATCTTTTTGAGCAATACCAACGATCATTTTGTACAAATTCATTTTGGGTCTTGCCAACTTCCAAAGGGTACATAAGCATGAGAGTCAATGATTTCCTGCCTTTGACATTTAGAAAAAGGTGCTATCTTACAAATAAACTATGGGAGGAAGAGACTGGATAACACATTTAAAAGCCTTATCTATCTATCTGTCTATCTATCTATTTACTTATACATAAAATATATTTATATATTATACGTGATGTCTTTTGTTCTCTTTTTTACACAAAGGAGATAAGAACAATGAATTCTGAGAAACCTAAATTTTATTCTGTGCAAATAAAAAACAGATCTTCACTTATTCACTCAGTCAATCAACAAACATTTGTTGAGGACTGACAATGTGCAAGGCATGGTTTTGAATTCTTTCGGAAAAGGCAAAAAATAAAAATTACCAGAAAGAAGATTCCATCTCATTGTCTAGACAAAACATACATATATGGAAACCATGAAAACATTTAAAACATAATAACATTTGTTCTTTGACATAGAAGGAAGAAGGTAAAGTGACATGTATTGAGCCCTTGCCAGATGAATTACATATATTATAGTGCCCACGAATCCTATATATCCTTGCTGTGGAAGTGGTATACAGTGGTAATTAAAGGTATAGCTCTGAGATTAAAATGTCTGTGTTCAAATACCAGCTCTTGGACAAATTACTTAATGTCTTTAATCCTGTTATTTTCCCAGAATATAAATGAAGATAATAATAAGATATCTCTCTCTCTCAGAGAGTTGTTTTGAGTTTTACATAAAATAAATGGCACTTAGAACAGTGCCTAACACAAAGCATGTGCTCCATTAATGTTGGCTATTATTAGTAGAGTTGAGAAAGTTGGCATTCAGCTTAGCAGTTTGAAGGCCAAACCAAGATCAGTCAGACCCCAAAGTCTGTCTCCCTAAAATATTACCTTCCTAGTAACAGTTGAACATGCATCCTTAAAGAGGACTCTAGCTGTGTGCAGCACCCCTTGATCAGTTGAGAAAATCTGTCTGTGTAACCTGGCCCAATCTTAAAAGAGATAAACACCATGTTTATGGAGAAAATGAATGCAAATAATCCATAAAATCAAAGCACAAAAATCGTGTCATCAGTTTTGCAGGGAGGCAGTGGATAGTCTGTGCATGTCTCTGCACAGTTGAGAATAGCAGTGTGCACATTGGCATTATAAGAGTCTGGGGACGGGAGACCAGTTAGGAGTTTATTACCAATGTACTGACAAATGATGAGAGGCAGAACTAGATTAGCTGTGAAGTGATGGGGGGATTTAGTCTTAGGGCACTGTACAGTCAGAAGGTAGTGAGTAACTAGGTGTGAGGATGTAAGGCTCAGCAGCCATGGCTCACAGGCCCAGCCGCTCCGCGGCATGTGGGATCTTCCCGGACCGGGGCACGAACCCACGTCCCCTGCATCGGCAGGTGGACTCTCAACCACTGCGCCACCAGGGAAGCCCCATGTGGGATTTTGAAAGACAGAGGAGACCATTTTCCAAAGGGAGGATGAGTCAGGAGCATGCAATGTTGTGTAAGGGCCAAGTAGGATGATGGCTGAGAAGAGGCTTTTGGTTCTCATCAGTGTCCTCCAAGAGGGCAGGTGCAGTGGAACAGTGGGGTTACAGGGCAGAATTCGGACTGAAGAGAGTTAAGGAGTGAGGACATCGTGGGAGGGCAAGGCAGCTAGTTTAAATGATTGTTTCAAGTTTGACAAAGAAAAGGAAAAAAGAGCAAGCATGGTATAACCAGAGGTAGAGTGTTCCTTTAGAACAAGGGTAGTGTCAGTCTGGTTTTACACTCAGGGGAAGGGGACAGTAAAAACAGAGCTATGTGAAGTTAGGGGAAAAAAGAGCGAGAGAGAGAATATATTGATTGGCTAAGAGTCAGGTGGAAGTGGAATGGAATAGAAACAAGAGTAGAAATGTCAGTCTTGGGAAAGAAGGATGTGTCCTGCTGAGTGATAATGAAAAGGGACAAGTGAAGACAGAGATCTCTCAAATCACGTGTATGCATGCCCTCATTTCACAGATGAGGAAACCGAGGCTCCAAGAGTTTAAATCATGATCACTAGTCAGTGGAGGCACTTGGCCTGAGTCCCATTGCCCTTTTCACTCTGCAGCCTCATTGCCTCTCTGACCATCTGTGAGGGGGCCATGTTGGCAAAAGTCTTGAAAAAGCAAGTTTGCTGACAGCGACAAGTAAAGACTGCATGGGTATTTGCATTCATGCGTTGCATTTTCTTTTTATAAAATATAAACCTGCACACATAACAAGTATTATTTAAAAGAGTTGCAAAGCTGGGAATGTGGCTAGTTTGACTGAACCACTCCCTCATCGTCATAAGCTGATGTACAGCTTAGAAAGTGATTTTCAGAACAATACTGAGAAGACTAAGCCAATTCTCTAACTCAGCCAGAAGGTAGGAAACTTCTTGTGTTCTTAATCTTTGAATCTAGTACCTGTGACACCCGAATTCTGACTGCCTTGTGATTAATTCACCATTAGTTATGACTAATCCTTGGAATAGGGCATTCTGGAAATATTCTTTGTTTCGTCTTCTCATTAGGGAAATCCTGCTTGCTCAATGCTCTCTACCTGACCCTTCTGCTCCACTGATAGACTCTTCTAGTCATCACCCAATCTCCTCCTTTCCTAACACTATTGTTAATAAATCTCACCCTGTAAGTAACCCATTTCTTTCTACTCTGGTTCTTGAAAGACCTGCCAATTCTGCCAATTTCTTTCTCTCCTTGTGTGGATGCTGTATCATTTGAAACTCTGTTCGGTTACTCCAGAACTTCCATTCCCATCTCCTCTTATCATAAACTATACTCACATTTCTATAAATTTGT